GTCTTAATTATGTTAAATTGGAAGAATATTTGTCTTGTCTGCTGAAATCTGAGAGGTGCATGTTGGTACCAGAAAAATTAAACATCTTAGAAACATTTTTCATGGACTTGGGGCTTGCCTTAAAAATACAGGAGAGTATAAATCCTTGTTTGCATATGCATGTGGGTGACAGCTGTCCTAAAGTGTGAAATATTTCAGTTAATTGAAATGCATTAATAAATGTGTTGCCGAATATGTAAAAATGAATTTAGTCAAAGCAACTTAATGACATTTCCAGAAAAAGAGTTGACTGAAAATTCCTAAGTGACTTCCAGTTTGTGATCTTGATATATAACATAAGTTGTGACTTGAGGATAATAACTATTGATGAGGTTAGGAACAAATATTTTAGCAATGTGTCTAAGGACAGATAAATTATAAGACCAGATCTCATAAATTAATTGCAATTATCTGGGGTAGCAGAAGGCTTAGTAAAAGTGGAAATATACACTTATTTCCAAAAATGTAATTGTTACACTTACTTTCATTTTGCAGCCAGGCCGTTGCTGTTTTAAGTATCTGTAAGACTTGATCATGACACTATTAAAATTATTTCTTCTGTTGTTACCTTAAAGCTAGACTACCATAATTAAAAAATTAGATGGCTGTTAAAACTAGAAAATGAGACTGTTGAAGAATGCAGGTACTAAGGCGCTCTCATCAGGAGCAGGTGGAGTCACTGCACTGAGATCTGTACCAGCTGATGGCTGCTCCTCTGTGAGGACTGTAAAGGGGTTGGCCTAACTGTTTGCAATGGGTAACAGACGTCCTGTTTGAGATTGTTTAATTCTCAAGTGAATTAGTGTTGCTATTGGTATTCTGCAGTATCTAGAATTTTCCTTTTTTTTTGGAGGGGGGCCAAAAAAAAGTAGTTGCGATTTTGTTGCATCAATGTTATTCTTGCTTAAAAGACCTTGATCCTGCCAGCATGCTGTGGATGCCAGGATGATGTGGATGATGATGTGGCCTTAAATTGAGTAAAACACATATACAAATCATTGCTGAATCAGAGCTTACCCTGTAGCATCTTCCGTAAATTTAGAGGTAACTTACAACTGTGGAGGGACTTGTAGTAGTATGACTTGCTAAACACTCTTTTTATATAGACTGTATAGATAGATATATATTCTTCAAGAGTGCCAAATTCAAAATTAGTAATAATTGTGAATGATTATTCCATCTGAGAGTGGCGTAGTATATTTTTTGGTAAGTGGTTTAGAAGCAAATTTCTTAGCTTTTGCCTTTCTGCATTCTTAGTCATGGCCCTTACACGGAATAATTTTAAATGTTTTCATTAGAAGAGTTTTAATAAGCAGAAAATTGCATGACATGCTCCTGACATCTTTGCGAAGTTCAACAAGGCCTTTTTTTAGACCTCCCATGCCCGTACACGGCTATCTGGTCTGATACGGTCGTCATTGCTTTTGGCATCTCACAGGTAGCGTTATTTGACATTTCATTGTGTTCTAAGTACTGGAAGAAATGGCCATGAGTCAGCTGATGACTGGTTGCTCCGTTGGGAGAAATACTTTTCTTTCTGTTCTTGGTAATCTTGTCTGTGGGAAAAAAAAGCATTTGTTTGTAATGCTGTAACGTTACAACATTTTTGGAAACAGTTTTGTTTTGCATTTGTTCCTATGCTTAAGTCCAGAATTCTGTGCAAAGCTCAATCTCTGTATCTCATTCAGCTCTTTTCTCCACTGTGCAGAGTGGTTTGTAGATACACAGAAGATGATCGCTTCATCTCTTTTGTAAATAGAAAATGAATCACTCCGGAGTAGATGTCCTTATGTAAGGACTACTGCGACTTTTGCATACTATGTTCCATTGTTTCTTCATTAATATGTCATGTTCCCATGTTTTACCTACGGGATGGAGAGATTACATTTTATATCTGGAATATGAAAGGTAGACTGTGTTATCGGGTTTCCTGTTTTTTTTATTTCCTAAATAATCAGTTTTTAACATTGCTCGATTAATCTTGGGCGAGGTGGTCTGCTTCTGCCTCGCTGGCATTCTGAGAAGACATGCGGTGAGAATGGAGCATATCCTTAGTGCAGGTCTGGGCTAGGCACTGCTTTGTGCTACTCCAGAAGCTTTTATGGCTTCAGCTTTAGTATGTAATATCCCTGAAAGGAGATATGAGAATTTGTGTCTTGGATTTGTTTGTGTGTTCTGTGGGTTTACTGAGATACAATCTTTCCTGCTAAGAAGCTGGATTTTATCCCAAATCCTCTGAATTTCTCACAGGATCAGATTCTCACAGTCTGGATTGGAAAAACAAAAAAAAAAAAAAACAAAAAAAAAACCCAAAAAAACCCTGTTTATTAAGGCACAGAATAACTGCTTCCTGTGTGTAAAGCTTACCAAAGCAGCCTCTCCCACATGCAAGAAAGCTGTTAGGCAATAGAAAATTTTACCCTTTGTGATTTCCTTAAAAAATACCTGGAGCTTTTATGCAACATAAAATACCATCCACTAGTTTGTGGTAAATACTTTGATTATGGCAGCCACATAACGAACCCACTTACAAACAAGTTATAGGGGCATTTTAAAACATGTTTTGAAAATTGGAACTCTTATCCAGTCCCTCTGGTCTGTCTTAAGTATTTTTCTTCTCTTGTGATTCACAAAGCCTCTGTTTTGTAATATTTTCAGCAGAGGTGGGCAAAAATGAAACAGGACTGCTTAGCAATGGCTTTCTTGAAACTTCTTGTAAATGAGGAGCCTAAGTACGTTCTCCAGATAAAAGCTCATCCTAAAATTTCTAGGATTTCAACCTGGAGCTGAAGGATTCCTAGATTTTGAGACCTGTGATAAGATACCAGACAATGAGGGAGCATACTGAATATCAAAGACTTGGGTTATTGAGCATGAAAGCCTAAAATGCTTGTTTGATGTTGTCCTTTGAGCAGCATAACTCCACAGGAAGTAAAGCTGAAAAATCACTGGTTTTGGTAGGCTACTGTCCTTAGTTCAGTTACATTTTCATGCTATGACTACTATGCACTTCGCTGTTCCTGGGATAGATCCTGGTTTTTACTCTCATGGTAAATACAGCACTGGATACTTTGTAGAAATTAAAATTGGCAAATTCCATGTGTTTTATGTCATTTGGCATTCTGCACGAACCTTCAGTTTGTCATAAATTTCTAAACCAGGGCAAGGTCGCATCTGGTAGCAATTGCAGTAGGCCAGATGAGGAATAATCCTATAAAAGCTAACTCATCATTTTCTCCAGTGCTTTTCAAAGATGAGCTCTCCCAATCCTTTTTCGTGAGACATACTACTTGCTCTGTGAGCTCTGAAGAATTATTTAGGCTGACAGTTTCTTCACACTTCATAAACTGCAGTTTTTGGACCAAGGCTCACTATCAAGCAGATAAGATGGTGCAACCCAGTAACAGCGTGGAAGCCTTCCTTTCAAGATAGTAGTCTCTGTCTGGATTGTGTTTTCTTTGGCAAGAAAATCTCCCTACAGGATGCAGTAATTAGGTGTTCCTTCTGAGTATTTTGATGCAGATGGATCGCCTCTTGATCTTTGAGTAATCTTTCATCTTACATACTGCATAACTTCTAAAAAAATATCATACGTAGCTACTCTTCTGCTCTTCTTTTACATGCTTTTTTAAAAAGTTACAGCAGTGCACTAACAGAACTAGCACAATGGAATGACTGTTTGTTGTGAAAAGAGCAATCTTAGCCCTTTACAAGTACTACGCTGTGCTCTAATTTTCAGTAACGCAAAAATTTAGTTGTAGTCAATAGTTTTATTTGATAGTTTTCCAATGCCCAATTATACTTTTCTACTAGTGGCTATTCTGATAACTTGTTGCCTTTATTATTTTATGCTTTCAAAGTATTCTACACGTCTTGGTGATCCCGTTTCTCCAAAGAAATGTCAAAACAGTGCACTAGTAAGGTTACTTAAATCAGTTATTTTTCTGTGAAACAGTGTTGTATCATAATGTATTACTAAATAGAATTAACAGCATTTAGCTAAGAACAGTTCTTTCAAGGTTTCCTGTCTTGCACAAGGACCTCTCTGTCCTGTGTGCAGAGGCAAATGTCATCGTGTCTTTTTCTCTGAGTGGACCAAATTAAATCTCTCTTGATATCGTTTGAAAGATACTAATAAAAAAAAAAAAACGAATGAACATTTAAAGAATTTTTCACAAACTCATTGGCACTGTCACCCCTGAACCGTTCTAACTGAAATGGCATTAGTAACTAATTAAAATTTTAATAATCTATGTGCAAAAAAGGGATATGGGCAGAAAAGCAACAGTACGGGCATGTGACTTGGGTGTCTCGAGCCCAGAATGTTGCAGCGTTTCACCTCAGGAAGTAAGCAATTGTATTTTGCTACTAACTATGTTTTCTGATCAACCTTCTTTCTATTCAAAGCACTGCTCTAACGACAGCTTTCCACCTTACGTGGTGGCACTAAAGTTTCCTGGCTTCTCTTCTCGAGCTCACTCACAGACAGCTAAAGTTGCGTAAATCTGAAATTTCAGCTAAAAATTCTGCTTCTTTTCCATTAAATTCTCATTCCTCCTCTACACATTGAAGGCACTTTCCAAAAGAAAGAGTCTCTGTGTTAATATATTAAGGAAAAAACATCAGCATAAAGAAAAGCTGAAAATAGAACTGCTCAGGAACCACAAAATCTCCCTTTGTGGATACTTACTTCCCAAAGACCAAGTTGCTGTGGCACAGTGCTGGTTCACAAACTGAATACAGTAGCCTAGGTTTATTTTTCCTTATTCAGATCTCGATATTGTTACTTACTGGATTTTTTTTTAGTTTCAGAATACACTGTAATAAGTATTAAAAAAATGTAAGCTAAGAGTGGCAGCATTTAAAATACATTACGACTGGAAAGCACTACCTAGAAGTCGTTTTTGCCTCTTACCATTTTTGTGACCTAATGTTACCATTTTGAATCTGTTTATTCACAGGCCAGATATCCTGACATTGTAAAACTTCCTGAAGGACTGTTGGGAGATTATATAGTTCTGAGGAACCCGAAACTTTCTGGGTAAGTAGATGGTATTTTGTTTGGATTTTTTTTTAAGAAAAAAGGGGCAAGGCCAAAAATTCTACTTCCAGCCCCGGCAGACTTCAAGATTCTTTATTTATGCAGTTAAAGGATAATGAAATGTATACCGATAGTCTGCAACTAGACCAAGTGTCCTATATAGATTAAGTCATTGCTTTATAACATCTCTAAGCACAGAGATTAGATGACGGGTGTTAGTTTTATGGCTATAACCACATACAAGAACCCTGGAAGGGGGGAAAAAAAGCAAAAAGCACAGGAAAGTTTTGTTTCCATGTGGCCTTGCTAGAAATGTCAACCATATTGCTACTTTGTATGCCCACCCTTTTTAAGAAGTAGATGGGGAAAAAAAAAAAAAACAAACCCAAGGCTCTTAGCAGGCTTATTTGCAGTTGCATTTTAAGAAAAAATTACACTGTTGTCTGTCTTTGTTTTGGAAGCTCATGCTATAATGAAGAATCTAAATTCAACACTTAGGAATGTGGGGTCAATCCTCCCTCTCATGCATCTGAAAACATGTCAGTTTAAACTGTGGTTTTGTTCCATCCTGGTTGTCTTTCTGTATTATATTGCCAAAGCTATAGGCAGAACAGCTGCTGAGCCCAACATCTCGCTGAATGTGACAGTGGGCTACTGGCAAACATCCTCTCTGAGGACCTGCGATACAGCACTGGTTTCCGCCCTTTGAGCTGAGCAAAGGCGCTTACCCCTTTTTGAGGGCGAACCCGGAGGCTGGTGTAGCAGCCTGTCGATTACAGCTGCTTCATGCTCTTGTGGTAGAACGTGCAATAATTACAAATCACTAAAGGAAAGCATAAATTCTTTGTCTGTACTGGAAAGACAATTACAGTTGTTATGTTACTGACGACAATTGTAGTTATATTTTTCCATTGTTTTATAAGGGAATCAAAGTTAGATGAAGGAGGTGATCGTTTCCCTGGCATTTATGATAATGCCACCACACTTGCTAGATGTCCTTGGTCCCTCTGTTAGCTGCGTTCTGCCTAGTTTTGTTTTTTAATAGAGTAAAAAAAAAATCTTAAAAAAATGAATGTAAAGCTGTGTAATTGTCATTGTCAGGGAATTGTATACGAGCATAGGAAAGTAACTCTTGTGAGAGGATGAGACCTTTCCCTTTTCCTATTATTTCTTCTCTAAAATATGCATTAATTCCTATGGAAATAACTGGAAATAAAACATAGCTCTTACCTTCATTACTACTAGTTTATGGAACCAGCAAATAAATCACAATAGTGCTGACTCCGTTTGTTTAGGAAAATCTGCCATTTAAAACTAAATGTGGTTGAACACTGAGTGGTTGAGGTAGTTGCTGTTAGATCAGCACAAGTAGAAAATAAGCTGTTCCCTTTTACTATCAGCAGCTTTATTTTGCAATTGCTCTGTAAGTTGACAGGTGTCACGTTCTGCTACACGCTCCCTGTTCCCCAAAATCGTGGCATATAAGCATTTAAAATCAGTTTGGTAGCTTGGGAGAAAGTATACCTGCATGCTAACTTCCATTCAGAACGCCCAGAACAAGAAGCTGCACACCAAGCCTCTGTGACTTGGACGTGGCAAAAGGGCTCAACTCATATTTGGACATTTTTTAAAGTTATATTTATATTCATGACTGTTTGAACACGGAGGAAAGGGAACTGGGTCCTTGTTATGACTTGATACTCTGCATATCAGCTTTTGATTAGGAAAGCCTTACTTTCAATAAGGGCTAGTCTTAAAAGCAGGAATGGAAAAAGCAGGAAAAAGCAGTACAGCAGATGGGACCCTATAAAGGACCAAATCTACCATGACCATTGTGCAAAAGCTGGAAATACTGAACAAATATTACAGCTTTGCAACATAAGGGCAGAAGCACCCCTGAAGGACAATAATGATAGGTAAGATTTCTTTTTTTAATGAAAAGCAAACAGATACCAGGATATAGGCTTTGATCAGTTTTATCCCTGTGTTATTCTAGAAAGCCCAAACCCAGACCAATCCTCTGTCTTTGGGGGAAAAAAAGAACGCTTCCTCTGAGGAGATTCTGTTCTGTTTTCACAGTGTGTGTCTAACACAATACTTGACCGCAGGTTGCAGATATTACGTAGGGGGTGCAGGGATCCTACCTGTCATCCTCTTTCTTACTATTACACTATGGAAATGGATCAAGCATTTGTAAGAACCACCAAAGACAAGAACTAGGGGAGGAAAACCTCTGCAGGTGACAATCTGAACATAGCTGGAAACTAAGTAATCATCTTTCCTTGTCAACAGATTACCAGTGTTCTTTGGTTCAAAATCTAAGTATTTATTGATTCCCAAATACAAAATTTTCAAGTTGCATTACTTACTTAGGTGTATTTTGTTCAAGAATATAATGGGTGCAGACCTCCTGAATCCCGTACTTTCCACTTTGAAGAAACTTTAGTTTTCTAGTTAACAGTTAACTAACTTTTCTCTGGATATGCTACAGGTTTGAATTAATGATTGTTTGGAAGATACATATAGACGAAGAAGGGAGAGCAGCACCTGTTCTGGACCTTCTGACTAAAGTACCAGAGCAAGGTAATGTCATTCACTTCAGAGACCATTTCTGAGCTTTTAGAGTAAACACCTGTCCCTTTTTCTTTTTTGCCCAGCATCTCTTTAGGTAAAATGTGGAAGCACATCTTGCAGAGCACATCAGGTAAACAAAACCAAATTTGGCAAGGAGCTGAAATGATTTTACTGCCTGTATACTTAATTTAATTTAAATGAGATAAAAAGTATGTCTTTCTGTTTTAGGCAGCAAGTGATCTGTTTTATCCAAAAATGCAAGGCAGACAGATACTTTCAGTAATAATGTTGTTCATTATTTATATTTTTCTTGTAGTCCTGGAGCAGAAGATAGCAACAGTTGAAAATGCACCTACCTGCTTCCGAAGTATGCTGCTTTTGTTTGGGATTGAGACAGCTGTTGAAAATCTTATCAAAGTGGTTGGCTTGAAAAAGTGAATACCAGCATGACTTAAAACAGGTAGCAATTTCAAAAGTAGTTTTAATTAAGATATTGTGTTACACAGTCTATAATTTTATTGAATATAAACATTAAGTTATTCTCCATTTAGAAACCATACTCATAAAACATGCTATCTGTACAATTATGGCACGTTATATATAAATTGTCATGACATGAAAATAAATACAGCCATTTAAATACAAAAATGCCAAATAAAATAGTTACATGTACAGAGTGATTTCATTATAAATTTATCTTTTTGAATCAATAATGTACCAGAGTGGTTTGTCGTCTTAACATTTTCTAGATACCTGGAAAGTGTTAAAAGAACATGCACTGTCAAAATCAAGTCCATAAGAAGTGGAAGTTTCATTTCACAGCTCTGTAAAAGTACAGTGATTTTTAAGATGACTAGAGAACAGTAAGAGACTCCTAGAACAAAGAGTTAAGTAATTTTCTCATTAAATGAGGCTAGAAGTAGACAAATAATTTGAAGTTTTTTAAAGAAGTATTATGTGTGAAAACCAACTGTGTGAAATACCTTTTTTTTCCCATAATTTGTGTTGAACAAGAGAGCATTAATTGGAATGAAAACCTGAACTAAGCAAGAAAGACCGTTATACTTTTGTAAAAAGAAATAGTAGAATTAACTACTGCTCACAGCAGTACTTCATTTTGATTTTCTACTTTTCATGGAAAAAAATTCTAGCAGATAACACATTATGAAAGCATCACATTTCATATATTTGTCCCTAAAGAAACAAAACAGACAGGTGTCTTGTAATCTTCCTTCGCTTCCATCAGATGTACCGTTAGCTCGTTATGAACTCCCAGCATTTTTCAAGAGAGTCTCTGCATTAGCTATCACAACCAAAGGACATGGTCCAAAACATACCTACATCATTTGAAGTCCTGCAATTCTATACAGAGTAACAGTTGTTATTCCTGGAATCAAGGGGCCAAAGCTGATGACAATGTAAACTGTTTAGTAATATATTAAGAGAGTTCCTTTTTAAGTCCATGGACGCTATAACCATGCAATCAGTACACCTGCCTGCTCTGTATTTTAGTTATCTTTTTAAACAGATGACAAAGCATTGTATAGCAATGGTGAAACGGGTAGGTAAGAAGAACTAAAAATATCAATTTTAAAGCTATAGTATGTTTTAAATACTGTAAATTTTAATATTCCACTATTTGATCACTGAAATAGTCTCCGACTGTTCTGGTAAGTCATGAAAAACTGAAGGTACAGACTGGTTTGTGTTGGAATGGACAGCTGAACTATGCTAGAAATCAAGTTTTTGATGAACAGCAATCCTATAGTACAAATTTTTCTTTTTAGATATAAGGCAGACTGTTTTCAAGTTTGGATTCCAGTAGACAAGCAAAATTCATCGCTGCTTTATCCACTGACGTGTTACTGGTTTAGCTAGCTTTGTGCAACCTTTACTGTAGTTAGTCTCATCTTTAGATCCTTACTGGATGAAAAGGAAACTATTTAGTCAGCACGCACATACACTTCTATTTGCATTTGAAATGTGTGTAAAGTTACAGCATAAAAAACCGAAAACTTAATTTTTCAGCTGTGGATAATCCTTTCTCGTTTTGTCTAACAAACGGTTGGAAGAGTTGTTTTTAAAAGGGGATCTTCTCCCCCAGGTTTTCTTTAGAAGGAAAGAGTTTTTACCACTGTCAGCTACCAGCTTATTACACTGTTGTAGTATCACACTTAACTGAAGAGCAGCCCACATCCCTTGATCTTGATATAATTTTTTTAAATGATAACCTACATTAGTTTGAAAAACATTACCAGTACACACACATTGTATACAGATAACAGTAGTTCACTGTAGCTTGAATAGCATCTCTTTGCACATTTCAGGGTGTGTAAACCCCAAGCACACAGGAAGAGTTGCTGTAGATTTTAATCACACTACCCACAGTTTTGAATACATCCTCAGTCTCCTAACTCAGCATCTACCTTGAAGATGGCTAACTGCAACATCTCAAAATTTTACCGGCACACAGGCATCTTTACTATACAAATTAAAGCCATCCTTAAATCGCTGAAGTAGTGATACAAACTCAGCTCCACTACTCACCATCAGAAAGTGACTCCCTGCAACCTCAGAAAAGCTTTAAAACCAGATACTGTCACCTTTCCTCTGTGTATCACTTACTTAACAGAATGAGCCTGAAAGCAGTTGGTCATGCTACATAAGGTATGGGTTGTCAGCGAAGTAATACCAGCATTCGACACAGTCTGAAAGACCCAAAGTAATCTAGAAAACTCAGAATACATAATTCCTAGGGCTCAATTTAAATTAGGAAAGAGCAAGCTGTGGTTTCACCTCCAATAGCAGCACATCATGTATAGAAAATAAAAGACCAAGGTGTCAGACTAGTTAAGCTCAGCTATCATAGAAAAGTCAAAGATGCTCACTTTTAACCCTTTTCACTTAGTTTCAGAAGCTTTAGGCAATGCAAAGTGCTCACAAAACTTCTGGAGGCAGTCTGGAGTACTCTCATGCACTAGTACTTAAAGTGTTCTGCAATAACATGGTAGTTCCATAGTTTTGTAACACTTTAATAGCCACTTGAGCTGTATCTTCAGTGGACTTACTTAATGCTGAAATTTTATATTATTAGGTTTTTGTCAAAGCATTCCCTCTTCAAAAAGCACAAGCTCCAAGGCAAGTCTCTTATTAGTAATTATGCTTTCTATATTAGTGCAATACTTCAGGAAACCTCTAATTCTGTGTTATTTCAATTCTAAGGAAGTGGACTTTTAGAATTAAGTTGATCTGGCCTTTAGTTCCAAGGTATGGCACGTTTCTGTTCTGCCATATTAAATACATTCATTAAGGTTACATAGCAAACGCATGTTTTAGTGCTATTCCATGTCTCTGAAAAGGCATACCAATTAGAAATCATTTCTTAAAGCAAAAACATTCACAGCTGAAAAATGCACTGAACACAATAGAAAAAAAAATCACCATAATTATTTCATTAACCTTTCACTTTCTAATGTGTTCGAATAAAAATAACCTTAAGGAAAAACAGTTACACTTTATGGAGAACTAATGTGCAGTCTTCAGTCTCCTTGAAGAGACTGGACATAACTGGGTCATCTTTGGCCTGTACATTCTTCAAATAATAGTTTACTATCTTGCCGTCGAGTTTGTACTGGTGAAGAATGCTTTCATATGGTTTAAGATCGAGGTCCAGGACAGAAACAGAAAAGGTGAATCTTGATTTGGATGCTAGTACCACAGGTCTTTGCTCAGAGCTGGAAAACAAAACCATATCACACAAGTGATTCACTGAAGTAAACCTATTTTTCATTTCTGGGTCTTTAGTCCTTGTGCAAAAGGGACTAAGGCTTATTTTATAACCATCCCAAGAACCTGAGAAAAGAAACTTCAGCTAACATTGTTTAGGAAACTATTGGCTTTGGCTTAACCAGTCTGAAAGCAAACTTGCAGCGCTTCTGCTACTCGTTTCCCTTTCAGCTTCACACAGGTTAAGTCAAAACATTACACTGTTGTTAAGTCAATTAATGCACCTTTGCAGTTAGCTAATGCAATATGTTTTTAGGTGTTATTGCATACAATGCAGCGGCCATCTTAACTGGCAGAACCAATAAGAATTGCTGCAACTTCTACATAGGTTCAAGGTAATCCAATTTAGCATCAGAACTACTGTCCAAGCATTCTGAAGGATGGAGGACTTAAACTGTTGCAAAATTCCCCTCTCGTGTGAACGTTTTATTCAAGAATCCCAGGACAAATGCAGAAGACTATCTATCTTCTCTGCACATAAAGCTTTGGCTAAGCACGCTCCCCTCTCCAAGAGCAGACTATTATTGTTGACAAAAGTCAAAACAGGTAATACTGTGGCAAAGCTTCCTGCCTGACCTGAGAGAAGAGAAAGATGTCACCTCATGATTATTAACTGGATCAATGAAAACAAGATACAAAAGACTTCTGTTTCCAGTCAGGTGGTTGAAGGCAAATCATTCTGAAAAATCTCTCGTATCAAAGGATCAAGGCAGAAAAATCCTAACTCGCTAAAACCATGTGTATCTAATTGTGTGCAATTAATTCCTATTTCAAGAAGAGGGCAGACACAGAACTGACCCTTTTTGTCAACTTTAAGTCTTCAGAAACTGTCCTATATATCTGAAATCAAAACTCTACCTTATTAGTATGCCCACAATGAACATTTGTGATCCAAAAAAAAAAAAACACCCTTAACCGTTACATGAATTAACTGAACTGCACACGTGCATCCGATTTCTAAATGAATAGGAGTTAGTCAAAATCAAATGTCTCTTACCATTCGTCTTGTAGACAAGGTGAAAGGGCAATCATGATGGAGCAGTCTTTCGCAGTCATTGCTATTCTGTACTGCTGCACCTATACAAAATAAAAGTGACATGATTTTTCCATTATATTTGTATTTGCCTTGATATAAAACATACTGTTGTTTTAAAAAGGTATTAGTATATTCATTTTAAGATGTGGACATTATAAAACATGGGCGGCAGGAGCAAGTGGTTTTACCGCACCCTCTGTAGGGATCATGTTTATGTCCTACAGATACTTTTCTTAAAGGCCAGCAAAGCACCAGTTCATGTTAATGCCTCCTCAATCTAGAAAAGAAATAACCAGCTTTATTTTCCTTTTAAGGAGAGAGGCTGAATGTGTTGGGTTTTAAGTGCTTCTGCTACAAAGGTACACGCTGGCACCCTGACAAAGTTAAGAACTTTAACTGTGCAAAACTGTGACAAGCCAGGGGTAAGGTTCACGCACTACCCATCAATTTCAGTTAGCTAGGTGGTTATTAGAACTGACCGACTAAATAAGCTTCAACAACATGCCCAGGAAAGGTACCTTTGTTAACGCAAATGCTACTGTTCCATCGTCTTCAGTTGAAAGATCTAGCAGCTTCTCATAAAATGCTTCATTATAAGGCCCATCTATCTGCAGTGTACTTCTAAATAAATTTTAAAAGAAGATTTACACACAGCCAAGGAGATTTACTGATTTCCAGTGAGATCTTTCTTCAGTAGCCCAGATAGATAGTCAGATGAGAACATACCAACAAAAACACTGGTAAGCATGGCAATAACTATTCAAAGAGCTAAAACCATGGACAGTCCCTATCCTCATTTCATACAAGCACAGCCACTTACAATTTGCTGCAGTTTAACACTTTCTTTTTTTTTTTTTTTTAAAGGTCAACCATTCTTAATCCCTGCCTCCCCATTTATCACAAGAACAGATCAGCAATTTTTATGGGAAAAAACTGCATTTTTAGCAGGAGTGGGAAAGATTCAAATTTATAACAGTTTGTAGCACCCTCAGGGAGGCCTTCCTGAAAATACTGAAGGTACATCTGATAAGGCCCCACTTACCATCCCCCAACTTCATAGTGTGTGCACTGCACTTGATGTACTGATAATGGGATAGTTGATATGGCCTCCTTCTTTCCCATGCTAAATACTTAAACTCCCGAAAACCTGCACTCATAAAAATGCAATTTGCAGCACAAACCTGTAATTTCTCACTTTAGTGCCAATGCACAGCACACAAACACCGCATGGATGAAAGAATACACTTGCAAATGAATTGTTTATTGTAAAAATGTACAAGCACACCACAGTTATACTGCACATGACTTAAGCAGAACTTAAGGCTATCACATTGCTCGCTACAAGATAATCCTTTAACTGGGGAGTCCAGAAGAGCTAAAGGAGCACAACAGCCATGTCTGACAAGTGAGGCCCGCGTGCCCTCTTGTGAGCAACGGCAGAATTACAAGCAAATACATCCTGAGAATGTAAGTATCAAAATTAAAGCTTTTTACAGTGCTCATCATTCCAACTAGTACGCTTTATCTGAGGACTAATGCAGCACCTTACAATACTCAGTATTTCTTCATCAGGCAAGAGATAGAGTAACCTAAAGATTCTTCCTCCTCAAGTTTGATTTGCTCATTTATGATGTGCATCGCAAGGTGGTATTTTAAGCTACCCCTCCTCATAAGCTACCCCCGTACACTGCTTAAGTCATTTTCTATAGACGAGGCAGCTTCTCAGAATAAGTTTACATGAGCAGTACAGCTAGCAAACCTCACGTTTTACTGCAGAAGCGTAACTTAAAGCAACTGAACAATCTGTCACTGCAGCTTTATACGAGTAGCAATTTTCTACGCTTGCAAATCAGCATTTCCTCATTCCGATACAATTTTAGTAGGCTATGGGATTTCTGCTCCTCTGGCAGATGACCAGTTGCATTTTCTTTTGGTTGAAAGCACTGGTCCACAGACCCATGCTAAACATCACTCAAAAAGTATTTTGAGCATAAAGCACTGTAAAGGCACTGGGTAATGCACGAGATACTCTGAGGCATGGCAGTGATAAAATGGCCCACACAGGTACGGGAACCACTGACACAGAGCCCTGCAGTTCTGCTAGCTGATCGCTCCCACATCTGAGCTAGTTCGAGCATATCACATTCTGAAACACCCTGAGACAAGCAACCTAACAACACCACCTCCTCTACAAAATCAACATTCTGGTAAAGTTTACTCGCGTTCTGATTTTTTTTTCCCCTTTAGATGCCAAATTGTGACCAAAATACCCATCTCATCACCTTAACATGTAACACAAACTACGTGTTCAAGCAACAGAAGCGGTAAGAGGAAGTCTGCTCCCTTTAAGGCAGGCCAGGCAATACTAATACATTATCTATTGTCTGTTTTAACTACTATTTACAGTAGTTAAAACAAACGCCAGAAGCAAAGGTACAAAATTGTAAACTGGTGATAAATACCATCGCAAATGACATAAGCTGGAAAACTCAATTGGAAGTTGGATAATTTGGCTGAATGTTTTCAAAGACTGACCATCTCAGGCTATAAGCCTGATGAGACACAGGAACCTAAGACCCTGTGCATCACAGGGGTCTACCACCACTTTCAAAGGAAAAGTATGTTATCTCTCTCCACGGGCAGTTTAGGAAAAAGCAATTACCTTAAGGGCATTACTGTTGATTATGATTACTTTAATTTGCTACAGGATGAAGCTACAGCAGACTGCAGCCATTTTCCTTTTAGCAGCAACTTAGGCAGACGTGCTGATTTGTGCATAATGAGCCCAAATCTCAGAATGCCTTAATTAAGAGCATGCTCAGGCACCTCCACATTCTGTTTCCTATTTCTGGAGTGTACCCAGGCTTCCCTGTAGCTTGTGAAACCTAGAAGTCAATTAACTAACCAGTCGCAACTGGTCAACTCTTCTCTACTTGGCAGAATTGAAAAGCAAAGACTCAAAAAAGACCTAAGTCAAGACCAGGAGCTTTCATGATTAGCCCTGACAGACTTTCATCCATGTAAACTCCACCTCATCACATAGCAAAAGTCAGCTGGACAAAAGCAGGTACTGAGCCTGTT